GTGCTCTTCCGATCTTTTTTCTCTATATAATTTATATGTACATATTTTACAAAGCTGTATCTTGATGCATTAGGTGCAATAGTGAATTAAAATGGCGTTTTGATCATTTGATTGGTGCTTTGTCATGTGATTTAGACAACCAATCAGACCATATCCTTCAATGTCGCATCTATTTTCTAGGACTCTAGACATAATGCATAAGAAAATCAACCAATCAGAGCCCTTCATTTCATACTCTGATTGGTTGATTCTTTTATGTCTTATGTCTTGTGCGTTATGCAAAAGTTTGTGCTCCCGCTTTAAGCATAAGTTCCGAAACACAATGTATCACTTGTATGTATGTACATACATACATACATACCTTCTCTCTCGCACTCCTTGCCACTCTTGAACACACTTGCGGCCTATAGAAAACAAAGGTATTCCACCTCTATGTACCATATACTCAATGGCTCCAGGCCATAGGCCGGACTATATAAATATATTTTTAAAGTGATATTTTTGTGTTTTAGTTTTTTCAATTTATTAAAAAAATAAGTTATAAATTTAAAACGCAATTATTTATTAAATTTCACTGCATTTGTAGAAGAATATTCAATTACATAATACAATATAAGTTTAGTGTACGTGTACTGAATATCAAAATTCTATATCAAAAACATTAAATATAACATTAAATAAATGCTAAACATATAATAATATATCTATCTTTACTTTTGCTTATATAATAACTTTCATTAATTTTTTTATATAAAGTATAATCTAGTTACATATATTATGTGATAGTTAATGTATTGTTATATATAACAGAAACATGACAGTTGAATTATTTTTTTTATATATTATAATTTATAATTTTAATTTTTACTTTTTATAGACATAAAATAGAATATAAGCAATATTAATTATTACAAACGATTCAAAGACCAAAAAATTTAAATAATATATTCGCATAATAAGTTTAATTATAGATAAAAGAAAAGATAATTGGTTTTTTATGTAATGCAAGCTTCCACCGTTTTTTTGACAGCATCACGAGCATATGGTATATACGATAGGGAATGCCATGTCATAGCTAGTGACTGTATAATTATAAATAGAAGTGCTAGACCAGGATTATGCAACTGAAAACAAAAATTTTATAAATATCTTAAGAAGTATATTAACAACAAAAAATATTGAATACTTACATGTAAAGCTGCAAACAATGTTAAAGCAATCGAGACAAATACTAATATAGTTGCAATTATTCTTGTCGATGCAAACATCTTCTTTAATTGATTAAATGGACCCATCAAGAAACACGTACTAAAACAAACAGATTGAGTACAAACACAAGTATTCAGTTATTATATACAGGACATTTCATTTTAATCGCCCCAGGCAAATAACTTGAAAATAAAACATTGCCAATTAACAATTGAAAAATACTTAAGATAAAAGTTGTATGACTTCAGGGGAGACATAAAATCGTACCATTGGTCTGACCTTGGAATGGCGTTATCAAGGCCAGGGAAAGGTCATTTTCAATTTTTTAAACGAGACCATCCATTTTTCCTTTCATATTTTTGCAGCTTATCTCGAAATTTTTTCAAAACACTACGAGGGCAAGTCAATAAGTTTTTAGAAAATCTGTTAGAGCGCAGTTTCATGTCACATTACTTTTTGACAAGTAGCATTTTTCAGCTGATTACTATAAAATTTTGAGCGGAATTCATCACATGGTTTCATTTCTGTAAACGATTAAAGCGAACAACCTACATATTTTTTGCAAAATGGAAAAAAACGAGTTTCATGCAGTGATCAAATATCTATATATGAAAGGTTTAACGTCGAAAGAAATCAAAGCCGAGTTGGATAATGTTCATAGCACATCTGCACTAGCGTTTGCGACTATATACAATTGGGTGAATGAATTTAAACGTGGTCGTACATCCACATGTGATGCACCTCGTTCGGGACATCCAATTGAGGCTGCTATGCCAGAAATCATCGATAAAGTCCATAATATTGTTTTAACTGATCGACGAGTAAAAGTGCGCGAAGTTGTTGAGGCCACAGGCATATCACATGGCACAGTGATTTAAATTTTGCACGAACAATTGGGTATGAAAAAGCTATCGGCAAGATGGATGCCGCGTTTGCTCACTGTGGACAGGTTCACACATGCCAAATTCAAGGAATCCCGCTACGAATTGCTTCCCTATTCAGCATATTTGCCAGATTTGGCCCCCTGCGACTATTTCCTGTTTTCAAAACTGAAGAAATGGTTCGCAAGAAAGAGATTCACCACCAGAGAGCAGCTCATCGCCTAAACAAAGGCTTATTTTGAAAGATTGGACAAATCATATTATTCGGACGGCTTGAAAAAATTGAAGAACCGTTGGATCAAGTGTATCGAGCTGAAACTATGTTGAGAAATAAAAATAAATCGATAAAAAAAATGTGTTTTACTATGTTTCTTTAAAAATTTATTGACTTGTCCTCCTATAATGATATATTTAAACACTTTTCGAGTTACAAGGCTTGAATGTTACAGTACCGCCGACATTAACAATATCCAAATGTCCGAACAATGGCTAAAACTTTTTGAATATTATTCAGGATCATGACCTTAACAACATATGTCAAGATCAAGGCCATTAAAGATTGTTGCTCTTTTATTTTTATTTTTTGACATATCAAGGTCATAATACTGAACAACATTCAAAAATTTTAACCATTGTTTGGATACCTTTGATAATGCTAATGTTGACGATATTGTAGCTTTCAAGCTTCATAACTCGAGATTTACTTAACCAAAAAGTACTCTATTATAGTGCTTTGGAAAGCTCTAGATACTAGCTGTTAGATTTTGGAATCAAAAGTAAGGTGTTCCATCTAAAAAAATTAATGTGACCTTTACCTGTCCTTGGTGATGCCACTCAAAGTCAAATTGATAAAATAATTAAATAGATCTTTTAAGCCCTACAACTTTTGTTTAAACTATTTTTCTCAAAAACGTTTAATTTCAGAAATATTAAGGGGTTGCAACACTTCTCGAACCTTATAATAAGTATTAGCTGTAATTTTATATCTAGAAATATTAATATTTATATGTATAGGGTAATTAAAATAAGGTATTTAAAGTGTCATCTTTAAAGTTATTACATGTAAAAGTATGCAAGATAGCAAAAAATGTTATAAAAATCAGGTCAAATACTGTTACAAATATTTATCTTTGTGTTATAGTTGCATTTTTTACTAAAATACAAATTTTTGAGAATATCAGTGTTTTATATATTCTTATTCTATCCACTACTGAAGAAAAATCTCATTTTTTTTAGTCTAGAAATCCTTGCATAAGCTGTTTAATTATGCTTCATAATTTGTTAACAATTATTCTTAAGACCAAATATCTTTTTTTTTCTTCAAATCAAGCAACGTTTATCTAAAACACTTTTTGCTATATTTTTAATTGCTACTTTTAAAGGTAATAACTTCTAACATATTAAAATCTCCATTGTGTATTGTACACTAAAGAAGCAAAAGAATTAAACATGTAAAATCTTACGTTTCTATGTCTAATAGTTTTCTTAATAAAAATCATGAAATTTATAGCATAAATATTTTGCAGTTATTTTGCTTATTAAAAAATAATAGTTATTTTAATTCAACATTTTAATAATCATACTGTATATATGAAGACAATAATTAAAAAACTGTATTATTTGATATCTCGCATTTTACCTGGCTAAAGAAATAATGTTGCCTAGAGTATAAAATACCGCAAATACAGCAAGACCTTTCTGTAAGAACAAGGCAAAGGATCCAAGGAATGAACATAGTATTCCTACGATGAAACAAATTGCAAAACCTTTTATCCTGGTAGACCAACTTAACGTTGTTTGATCCATGACCTGTTAATCAAAAAATTTTCTACAATCTTCTATAAGACAAATAAAGTTAATAGTATGTCTAATATTATAAAGTAACATAATAGTAGAAATACTGTAAAATTTCTCTATAATGAATCTTTATAATAATTTACCACAAAATCTGCATCAACCTTCCATTGTCGACCACATGTGAGCATTTATTAAAATGATAATTTTAGTTTACAGATAAAATAAGATTGTTACACATATAAGTAATCATTGACATATTGTATTATAACTAGAAGCCTATGTGTTGTATTTTACTATAACCTATTAAATATTAGACGAAATTACCTGGGTAATAATACCGCTTTCTTCATCGCATCGTTCATTGCCATTTAGAGCTCTCCTTAACTTGTCCATTTCGAAGTCAGGAATGAAAACGAATAGATTGTTCAGAGAAACTAAATGTTAAATTCATTAATATATCAATTTTTGAGGTTATCAAGCTCAACGAAATATTTTACCACCTCTATTACACACTCATGTATCAGATCATGCGTATTCCTGAATGTTCGACTTATCGAGAAACCTTTATACAACAAATTAATTTTCAGATAAGGACACATCTGCTATCATATTTATTTACACGTCTTTCCACATCTCTTTAGTGTACGGTCTTAAATTTGTGACATACCTATTCTTGATAACTGATCTACGTTGCACTTTCTGCACTTGGAATGAAATGAACATACAATTAGATGTTCAAGAGAAAAAGAAAGTAAAACACAAAATGTTCAGCTTCTGAATAAACCTGTAGATACTTGCATTACTCCGTATATATCGATGTTCAAGTTGATTATCCGATGATAATTTCATTAAACTCTTAATATTACTACTAATCCGTTTTATCGGTTCACTTAGTGAAAGACTTATGTACAGTTAAACGTGAATCTTAATATGTCTAGCATGAAAGTTATATAAAATAATAACTGTGCTGCTATGTATTCTAAATTGAGCGCTGAAGGGCTATAATTTTAACTTAAATTAAGTATGACTAAAATCTCAAAACATGTAGTATCACATGCAGATATTTGATATATATTCTATATATCAAGTATATACTTAGCCTGAAGAACGTATTTGATGAAAAGTACTGAATGTACAAATAACTGAAAGCTATTTAAAAGCAATTTTAATAATACATATAATATGAACATATTAAAATACAGCCACGAAACTAATTATTTGAACAATGCCGTCAATGTATCGATAATTTCTATCAAACTGTTGTTCAGGTATCATTTATATTAGACATTGTATTTATATGTATTTAGACAAGTAATTTTGAAATTACAATCTGCTTATAGTTATTGCAGAGAGATGGTTTACTGCTAGGTATTAAACAAAATATATATATCAGTCTTTTTACTATTTTAAAAGATGGAATTAATAGAATAAGGCTCGAAATAAAAAAAACATTTATTATAAACATTTTATTAAGCATCAAATATTGTAATTTGATTGTAAAGAAACATTGCAGCTTATAGCCTTCCCGAAGATAAACATAGATTGAACAAGAATTGTATAATATAATAAAAAAAGGACATTGTTATTACAAGTTGTATAAAAGCTGCAATAAACATTTCAAAATAAAAAAATTGCCAATTGTTCATAAGAAAATATTACAAATTAAGAAGATAGATAATAAGAAACAAAAGACACATAATATGCAGAATATTTCGAAGGCATAAATGTAATCAATTAAGAAATTTAGAAAGTACATGCAAAAAAATAAAAAAATAAGATGAATGTACGATATAGGTAGGATAAAAAATCCAAAAGTAAATATCATAAAGAATATATGAAAATATGACAAATATAATTTGTATCTATTACATATCGTATATGAATTAGAGATACAGTTGTTGAACATAATATCAAAGTTAATAAATTAAATACAATTAATTGTAAGGAAAAAAAAATTTGCAATGTCAAATAAAATAATAAGAATAGTCTATACTGTACTATAAAAACAAATAGAAAATATAAGAAACTTACAAGCTACACAAAGTGCACTCCATGAAAACTAAAACAAAAATTATGGAAATAATATAATATAATCTGTTAATGAAATTGTACACATAAAAATTAAGGACTTTAATCAACAGAAAATAAAAATAAACTCTTGTACAGGTAACTGAATAAATCATGTTACATACAGTCCAAATGTAATAGCATAACAAACATTTAGTACTCACAAATGCCAAAAACAAAATATGTATTCAATAATAAATTTAAATTGAAAAATAAGACGATAAAGAATGTATTATATCACATTAATAATGGATCACATAAATGGACTAATAGGTTAAGGAACTCTCTGAACTAGGTAAACTGAAACGTGACGTTAATAGTATCAGTGTTCACCGCTATGTAGCGCATGAAGAAAAGCAAAACTCGCATTTAAAAAACATCCAAGTATGCTATATAAGACGTGTAAAACCAATGCATGGCATCGCTTCTCGGCTCTCTGAGCTAAGATCAAAGTGTAGTATCTGTTCTTATCAGCTTAATATCTGATACAGTCCCCATAGGGGACTCAGAATATTAAACTGATTTTTGAGACCGGGCGGGTGACCGGAGCTTGCTCCGACCCTGCCGCGGGTCG